GTCTGCAGGCCGCAGGGATGTCACACAAGGACAGGGAGACAGGGTCTCCATCTGACCGGAGCCGCGGGAGACAGGAGACCAAACTCGAGCAGGATCAGCTCTCAAACTTTATTACGTACAGCGAACCGGACCTAACAAGGTCCGCCACCCTCAACGTTGGTTCCTCTTCCGCCCGTTGGGGGCAGGAACAACCTCTTATAAGGGGAAGCAGTATCCAATCACAGAGAAGCGCGCCTAACAAGCTGATAGGCTAGCGTCACGGGTAACTGGGCAGATATGACAATTTGGCGGGCTTGTTCAGGCCGGGAAGAACCCGGAAGCAGGAAATGGGCGCCATCATAGGCGGCTTCCCACATCTCCCCCTTTTTTATTTATTAAAATAGGATGGTCTGTGGGTCCCTCCAAGGTGTCTATGACCTTGTTGCTGTTAGACACCTAGGAGTGGGCCCACCTTGTAGGCCGAGGCATGAGAGAATGTAGAGGTCTATACCCTGCTGTGCATCACCCTGTTTTGTGCATATCCTTGCGCCAGGACCATGCTCAAGGTGAGTGGTTCATTTTTTCGCAGGGCCAGGCTTTTGTGAACCGAACCTGGATGCATATAGACATTCATTCCTGCCTTCCCCCCAACCTTTGGGGCGGACGGCACTGCAGTACCCTTGGTCTCGCATCTCAATGCCAATAATTTGACTCCGGGAGGGACCCCTGGCCTTATAGGCCATGTATATCTGAGTGGAGCCTGTCTTAGGTTGACCGGGAGGGCTTTTCCCGTCTTACCCGTCATTGGCTTGCCCACTCAGCTCTTATAGCTGATGTTCTGCAATGTGAAGGAGATATGCGGCGGCCTGCTGGCCTGATGGGCCACCTGCTGCCATTTGCATGGCTGCCATAGCTGTGATCTTAACCTGCTGCTGAGTTTGTATGAGGTGATCTAACAAGCATTTAATAACCACAAGCCCTACTAGGATAGCCATGGCAATTAGCATAATCAAGGACTGTTTGATTGATGGTGTAAACCCTGGGTGAGGCGGGCGAGGCCGCCGAAAAAGGTGCCAATGTGGGCGGGTGGTGCCAAGGACCCCAAAGATATTGTGGTGGTTCTGTGGAATCTGAGCATATCACAGGGGTGATTAATAGGAACCCACAGCATAGAAAAAACTCCAAACCAGACATTTTAGTTTGTAGATGGTCTCGGGCGCTGAGCGTCGGTCCCAGAAGGGTCGAGTTGACTTGTGTCCGCGGGCTTATCTTCCTGTGCTTTATCAGGAACTGGTGGGGAGTTTACTGCTTGCGTCAATCTTTCCGGGACCCACAGCGGTTCGCAGCCTGGTTCCTGTGGGAAGACACAAACCGCACCTCGGGTCCAACTAACCACTGGATCCGGGCCCATCCATTGTCCTGTAAGGACATCTTTCCATCTCACCAGCCCTTTGTCGGCCGGGGACGGGTTATTGTGCTCCATGGCAGGGGAATGATTATTATGATTAAGGTTTAAAAAATTTATGGTAAAGAGTGCCAATAATATTCTTCCTTTGGGCGTTAGGCCATGGCCTATCCCCTCTTTTTGCTTTTGTAAGACACCCTTGAGTGTCCGATGTGCCCGTTCAATGATGCCTTGTCCTTGAGGGTTATATGGAATGCCATGCTTAAGGACAACATCCATTTGTTGACAGAATGTTACAAAAGTTTTGCTGGTGTAAGCAAGACCATTGTCTGTTTTTAATATATTGGGCTTTCCCCCAAGCAGCCCAGGCTGCAACACAATGATTAATAGCATGGGTGGCCCTTTCTCCAGGTTCTGCCTAAATATTGTCCGGGGGAGAGGCAGGCACGTGCCAGCTGGGTCCAATCTCCAGGAGTTAAAATCAGACCTGCCAATGCCTCTAAAAGCGCCATGGTAAATGGCGCATTGGGCCCATAAGCTGAAACTGCGTCCTTGATAGCTTTAAGTTGTTTAATTTCTAAGGGCTCATAATATCCTCCTCCTCCCCTGCCTCCTACTTGTACCGGGAATGCATGGAGACCGGAACACTCAAAGGGAAGCCGCGACCATACCCTCTGGTGGAAGGAACGTGAACTTGCCAAAGGGCGGAAGGGCTTAAGCTCCTCCCGTAAGGCGGAGTAGCTCGAGCAGGGTGGTGTTTGGTTCCCCTTTTTATCTTCCCGAGCCCTGAATTCCTCTTTAAGCTGTGCAGGAGGGTCCTGTTTAGCGAAGACAACCTCCTCTTCTGAACCTTCCGAATCAGAATCAGAATTAGAGCCCTGAGGGTCCTCCGGAGACCCACAATCGGCAGTGGCTCCGGGCTCCTCTGAGCATTCCGATCGAGCTCTATCAAAAGCCTGTCAGGCTGTATTAGCGAAGCGAAAGCAAAACAGATGCAAAGGGAAAAGAAAAGAAAAAAAAACCCAGCGTCCACTCGTGTGGCGCTCAAAATCTGTTAGGTGCGTCCACCCAACCCAGGTGACCCAGTACTCACCTGTCCCGGGAACCGCTGTATCTCACGTAGCTGATCAGGGTGAAGAGAAGAGGCGCTCGCAGCCTTCCGTTGTTATTGGGCCAGGTCCTCCGTCATACCGCAGGCGACAGCAATCGCACCTCCCGGCCGAAGAGGCACATCGCTGAGTCTTTTACCTTTTTCCCCGTACGGGCGGCCACCAGATGACCGGAGCCGCGGGAGACAGGAGACCAAACTCGAGCAGGATCAGCTCTCAAACTTTATTACATACAGCGAACCGGACCTAACAAGGTCCGCCACCCTCAACGTTGGTTCCTCTTCCGCCCGTTGGGGGCAGGAACAACCTCTTATAAGGGGAAGCAGTATCCAATCACAGAGAAGCGCGCCTAACAAGCTGATAGGCTAGCGTCACGGGTAACTGGGCAGATATGACAATTTGGCGGGCTTGTTCAGGCCGGGAAGAACCCGGAAGCAGGAAATGGGCGCCATCATAGGCAGCTTCCCACATCCATCTTTTGTATTTTATTTTTTGTTTTGGAGGGAGGTTTTTTTGCAATCCCCTTGTTTAGAGAAAATTGTGCTTCTCCTGTTTTAGAGTCATGTGGAAAGAGAGTTCTAGAATGAAAAGGCTGGACCACACTCTGCCCTAAAATCGGGCCCTTTCTCTCGAAGAGTGACTAACCTGCGTGGAATCCGCTGAGCAGCCTTGTTTATGAAGCCTACCGCTTCCAGGATCATCGGGTTTCACAATTCTGGAGGAACCGGGGCAGGATTTGTGCAACTGGTGGGTGAGACTGCACTCCGTTCATTCAGGGAAAAAGCAAATCTAAACCTCAGAGAGGGTAAGCGACTGACTCGGGCAACTTGGCCCACTCTGGCCCCACGACTAGGAGGGACGGACCTGTGAGCAGAGTGTCCCTGGGTCCCTAAGGCCCTTTGCAAAACCCTCTCTCTGGTCTGCCATGTGCTTGTATCCACACCATTGGGCTTTTCTCACTTGAACCTAGGTCAAGACCCACAGATCCTTACAGACCATGGAAAGGGCTATTCTGTGACACTGTGTCTCCCCACAGAGATATCAAGACATGTGTAACCTTGATACTCCTGACTCTGGCACTCCAAAAAGTCACTGCGCTTCCCTCACTGACTCTGTATGCAGGAGGAACACCAAGATTTCCTTGCCACCTGTTTTCCTTAGGCACAGATGAGGGTGGACACTCAGGTGTCACCACCCTAAGAAACATCACAGACTCCTCTGTCCTGGCTGAAGGGAATGCAGACCTCAAGAGGTGTGGCCAGATGTTTCCATGGTGACCAAAGGCACAGGGCCTGGCACCCCATGCTCCACACCTGGGGTGCAAAGATACAATGTCGTCTCTCATTCAGTCCTGCACCCCTATACCCTGACTGTGGGCAGAGCTTCAGACCCACATGAGCGTGGCTTTTGTTCTGGCAAGGAGCTCACTGCCCCAGTGACATGTGTCCTGCACAGCCTGGGACAACTGAGGTGAGAATAACAAGTATCCTTGGCCCCAGGAAGGAAACATGCATTTAGCTAGCAGTTAGAGGAGACCTGGCTGGCCGGTGAGAATGAAGAGGAGGCACATAGGCAGGAGGGCCCATGGTCCACCTGTGGGACCTCAGGTCCCCAGCACTCCACTCGTTCCAGGTGGCAGAGACATGATGCCTCCAGCTCCCATGTAGAGCACCCCTAAGATAACAGGGATGACCGTTCCCAAGGGCCCAGGCTACCTGGGGGCGATCAGAACAGATGCTAGGGTCCCTCCTGCCGGGCTACAGCTGGGCATCCTGGGAACTCATTTGGGGTCCAAGGAGAGAGCTCTGTGCACTGTGGGCCATGGACCCTCAGAGAGAAGATTCAGGGAGCCCCCTGGGTCCTGCCATCCTCCCACCCATGCCTGCCGCCTGTCAGGCACTGTCGAGTCCCCAAGGCAGGGACATGTACTGTTAAGATAGCCTTTCCCTCGGAGCATGGTCACTATGAAGAGCTGCCTGCAGGCAGGTGCAGTGGGCAGATGTGGTAGGCCCCCAAATCCACCTCAATGGAGAGGAGTGGGCTGGGTCAGGTAAGGGGCCCCATGAGAATCGGCAGTGTGGCCACCTCAGAGAAGGACAGCCTGGAATAGGGCCGTGTGCTCCACTCTCCCGTGTGCTGGGAGCTGGCTTTTCTCTCCCATCTTCCAGCCCTCAACAGGAAGAGGATAAGATCCATGGAGCCCTCAGGCCAGGCTCTTGCTCAGCACACTGCAGAGCCCGAGGGTAACACCAGGGCCGCTGTCTGTGAGGAGCCTTGGTGCTCCCATGCAGAGAACCCTGGGCATCTGGTATGCGGTCCTGGCTTGCTGCACCCTGTGACCTTGGACAAAGTTCCTCCACTGTCCAAACTCACCTCCTCCCCTCCTCGGGGAGCCCAGCAGCCTTGAGCGCTTTTGGTGTGGTTCCACGACCAGCACTGCCCAGGGCTCCTGCCAAGCCACATACTGCAGATCACCATGGCCGTGGTGACAGCAGGCACAGCTGCTCTTCTGACTAGCAACAAGGCTGAGGCCACCTTCATGAAGAGCGCAGGAGTGGGTGGCCCGACTGTTGGACTGAGCCACGTTCCTGCTCCCCATATTCTGTCTGCAGCACAACCTTGGGTGTCTGTAGGGACACAGAAGGGGCCACCTGTGAGGAGGAGACACAGGCGCAGATCACACCTCTGACAAGGCTGGTGACTGCAGAATGGACTCCTGCATCTCCATGGTGACAGACTGATGTCACTGGAGATGAGCAAGCATCACAGACACCCATGTCACCAAACAGGAAGCACAGGCAGCACTGGCACCCACAAGAGGACGTTCACACCAGTGCTGTTGCGGTGATGCTGACCACAGCCAAGGTGAGATATCGCACATGCCATTGTGTTGGTGATGGGGAGCACTGCTGGTTGGGCCTGAGAAGCTCCTCAGCCCTGCATTGCTGGGGGATGGAAGATGGGGCAGGTGTCCGGGACACAGATGTTAAAACTGCTCCCAGAGCTGAACTCACAAACACCCTGCCATGCTGCAGCTCCTCCCTCAGGCATTCGTTCAGGGCAATGGAAACTGCATGTACCTGGGCACCCACCTGCTGTGTGCATGTGCAGCCCGCTGTACCCATGCGTGCCACACAGGACACCCACAGCAGCCAGATCCTGGCAATTGCAGGGCAGCTCTTCCATGAATGGCCAAACACATGTGATTCCCATTATCCGTCAGGGCTGTGGAGAAAAAGCCAACAGGAGGGAGAGGGGGAGGGGAAGGGAGAGAGGGATGGAGAGGGAGAGAGATGGGGATGGGGATGGGAGGGCAGTAAGCTCCGAATCCAGAGGCTGCAGGCTCTGGGAGCTGCCCACTCAGTTCCAGCCTGCAGCTGGAGGACTCGAGACCCAACATGGACAGGTGGCTGAAGTAGAAAGTAGGAAGAAGCTGAAGGCCCATTAGCCTGCAGGCCAGTAGCCCAAAGCACTCTCTTCCACGGCTTTTTAGTTCTAGCAGGAACTGCCTGGCCGGTCTTCCCGTGACGTGGAAGCCATCTGCTCTAGTCGGTCTGTGTGTTTCAGTGCTGATCTCACCCAAAAATGCACAGAATCACCCACAATGGCATTTGGCTGGATGTCTGGCCACCCTGTGACCCAGTCAGGCTGATGTGTAAGATTTACCCCCATCCTATGGAAAACCACCCTGCAAGGAGGAAGGAGTGGCTGACCCAGAACGGCTGGGCTACAGCTCAGGGAATCAGGACAGTGAAGCAGAAGCAGACACAGAAGGCCGGGGGCTGTAGAGCTGATTCGTGGCTGCCAGCATTGAACTCATTGGTATGGGAACTGGGGGGAAGGGGTATATGTAAGGATTGCGTGTGCATGCGTGTGCACACACACACAGAGAAATCTGAGAAATCTTACAAAGACCCCATCACATCAGTGTCCTTGTCCTAACTTTAAAGTTACACTGTTTGGCATGACACCGCCCCAGGCCAGCCTGCCGTGCCTCCCCACAGCAGTGTGGTGTCCCCTTTGCCTCACTCCATTTGTCCTCTAGACTATGACTCCAGGGCCAGTTGCCGCAGGGGTCCCATGGAGAGCCTGGCCACACCAGGAGTTTAGGGTTAAGTGGTCACAGGTGGAGCCTGGGCATGGGAGGGTTTAAAAGCTCTGCAGATGATTTCTGTCTGCTCTAGAAGCCCTGACGTGCAGCTCCCAGGCCCATGTGTCCTCTGCTCCTAGTTCCAAAGCAGAGCCCCACAGGTAGTAGTTAATGAGCACTCATCTACCCAGTGAAAAAGGAAGGAAATGCATCACCATCTCCCTGGAAACTTCGGGTGCTGGGGCCCAAGGACCTCTCCGGCGGGTGCACAGGATGAGGGGGCAGCACTCCACCCCTGGGTGCAGCAGGGCCCTCTAGAACTAGGGTCCCCACTCCCTTTTCTCTTGGCTGTGGCCTGCAGATCCTACACCCAGGCAGAGGCTCGCATGCGGAGCTGGCTCCCAGCTCCCAAAGCACAGAGGAACACGCCTGCAGAGTTCTGGTTGGCAAAACTAGACTTTTCCCTTAGCTTGGGAGCCAAGATGTCAGCTTTGGTGATTTGCAAAGGAATCTGTGCTTCTCAGATGCAGGACCCGTGCCCAGCCTCTGCTGCTGTGGTGCTGCCCGTGTGCTCACTGCACTTAGAGCAAATGCCCTGGTGCTGGGGACAATGAAGGCACAGGTGACGGAGAAGCAGGCACAGCCCCCCTTGCCCATGTGAGATATTCCCCAAGTGAACATTCTTATGTCCCCACTCCTGAAGAAAACATGTCCAAGACTCACGTGTGAAAGCCAAGTTACCTCTGACCCACAACATGAACTGAAAAGTGTTTTCTGGATAGCATGGCCAGGAGCCCAGAATCACAGGATTTTTAGGATTTGGAAATGTCACCTGGTTCAGGGACCTCATTCTGCATCTAGGGATGCTTAGGCACCAGTGCTGAGGCCTAAGCTTTCAAGGTTCGGGGTAAATGTTTCCTTCCTGGCAGGAGTAGTAATACAATGCTCAATGACTGGAATGGCACTTAGAAAGCACTTTCCAGCTCTCTGGGCTTTGCAACAGATAATGAACCTGAATTTGTTTATCCATGCATTTAAAATTACTTATTGAACGGCTACTTTAAGTTAGAAATAAAAAAGACACCAGAGATTCAAAGACGCAGACCAGACTCCATGTCCTCAACAAAGCAGGACAGGGTATGTGACAGCGGACAGGTCAGGACCCAAGGTGCGGTGGACGCTCAGCCACTGCCTCAGGCCAGAGTAGCTGAGGGAGCTGGACCCGCAGGCAAGTGGGCCTGTTATGGATTAAGAACTGGTAGTCAACTTAACGCCAGCTGGATTACATCAGCATGGCATTGGACGAAGATGCTCCACTTGAGGCAAGTTGCCAGGATAAATAGGTGGAGAAGAAGGGAGGTGTTGAGGGTTTAGGCTTTAGGGAGGCATTATGGGTTCTCCTACAAGTTGCTGTCTGAGCTGTTGGTTCTTCTGGAGAAGCTTTGGTCCTCACATCGAGCATCGCTTCCTGGATCTGGAGCGGAAGACGTGCTGCTTGGTCTCCAGGATGAACTCGTCACGCTGCTTCCTGGCACGTACCCGACTGTGCATGTCAGAGGAGCTCGGGCCCTCCTTGTCACTGAGGACAGCTGTGGTGCCTTTCAGAATAGCCCTGGTCTTTGTTGTGAGTGTGACTTCTCGGCTCCAGCATAGAACCCTCACCCCACTAAAACGGCTCCTTTATCCTGCTGGCATAGACTTTCTAGCTTCCACCGCTGACCCTTGGGTCTTCCCGGCACGGATCTGTAAGAGACTGGCATGAGTCCTTCTTTTGGGCTCTGGACCTCCAGTTGGACTTGTGGGAGGCATTGTCCTGAGCTCTGGGATTTTATCTGGACTCATGTGGGACATTGCAGTGGGGTTTAGGCTCTTGACTAAATAATCTATGTCTTTGGTGTTGCGGAAAGATTTCCTGCATTTTCCTGTGTTAACTTCCGGTGACCATTATAAAAATATTATAAACTCAAAAAAAAATATTATAAACTCCATGTACTAATCCTAATTGTTCTCTGACTACATCAGGGCCCCGGGAGCTGGGGAAACCAAGGCAGCTGAAATGGACTCCTCTGGGAAGCAGTCAGATCTGCTGCTGAGAAAGATTCATCCTTTTGCAGTTTTGACATGGAGAAACATTTCTAAAGGTAAAATTCAAAATCTGGAAGAAGCCAATCAAGATTAAGGGATCTGACCTAAAACTTTCCCAGAACCGAGAGCAGCACCATAAAGCAGTGTAAGAAGACTAAAGCTAAACCATGAAAAATACAACTTAGGAAGAGCTTTTAAAACTGAAGAAGGGGCGTGTGGGCTCAGATATGACTGGGACAGTTTACAAGAAAGCAATCCATGCAGCTCTTCGACCCCTTTCAGAAAAGAGAAGCCAAAACAAAGATCATCCTGAGAGGAGCAAAACTGTCCACAGAGAGAAGAGAAACTGGCCATGATGCTCTGGGCTGCAGGTAGCTCCTCCTTGACACCCCAAGTGCAGGTACTGAGCCCTGACCCTCAGTGGGATGGAAGGAGGAGGAGGAGGTAGGCCCATGATGATGAGGTCCACAGGCCAAGAAGATGGAGCCCACAGGGACCTAGCGCCCCTACAAGACAGCCTGCTTCACAGGAAGCAGAATGAGCACCCTGCCCCCACCAGGAGTGAGGTCATCTGTGCCTTGACCCTCACCTCACCTCCGAAACACAAGACTGTGAGACACAAACTCCCATGGCTTAAACAGCAATGTAAGGTGTGCACACCCTGCAGAGGGGAACTCTGGGATACTCAACACAAGCGCATGTGCGTTTATGACTTGACCCCCCGGGAAGTCCCGCCTCAGGGGATCCCCTCCTGTGGGTCATAGCAGCAGAGACAAAAGCAGCTCCTGACCAGTCCCTGGCACACACCCAACCCTCTTTTGTTTTCTGTTTCTTTTCTTTTCTCCTCCTGGGGAAAGGAGTCTGGTCTGCGTCTTTGAATCTCTGGTGTCTTTTTTATCTCTAATTTATAGTAGCTGTTCAATATCTATCATAGCCCTGTCTGTAACAGGAAAGATTGGACATGACTCACATGCTTAGAAATATCAAAGCACTTCTAAAAATGAGTAGACATCCTCATAGTAGAATACTATGTAACTGTAAAAATGAGAAATGCTGAGGATTTATCTTAGTGGCATAAGCACCTGCCTGGTAAGCTTGAGGTCGTGAGTTCGATCCCAGGTACCAAAAAATAAAATAAATTTAAAAAGAAGCATTATGTGAATGAGCTCCATATTTATCATTAGGTTAAAAAAAACATAAAGTGTATGAGTTTGCCACCTCTCTAAGCACAGCCACGATATGAATGTGTACATATAAATGTGCACGCACACACACACGCGCATATATCAGAACTAAGAACAAACAAAAGGATAAACTATATGTTTGCACTGTTACCTATAGGAAAGGAAAGAAAGGATGGAGCAAGCTAAATATACTTGTTTCAAAGTTTTAAAACTCTATAAATATTTTGTAAAATCAAGCAAAGTTAAGTGCAAAGATGCCACCTAAACAGCTGAAGCAAAATGAGGCACATTTCTTGAAACGAATACACAGATGACAACATAAGCATAATAGTCTCAAGAAACCGGAAGTCAATCACATGCCACACTCCCAGAAATGCTAACTAAAGGGCAACGGGACAGAAAACACATGCCGTTCTCACACTGTGAACACTGGCAGCTGTCAAGTGATTACTTCCATCAGCCTCATTCAGGATTCGAGGTGTATGATCACCCTGTTTAAGTAACGATGATTACTTAATCAGCATTGTTGCTGTTGCGCTGGATTTGACTTGGAAGTTCAGGATAAGCAGGCAATCTAACATTTAAAGATGATGCACATTTCTGCAAACTAAGAAGACATAGAAATAACAATACTGCAGTACCGAGATGGTGTTTTGGATACTGCCATCTCCAGGGCAGCCCATTCAACTCCTCAAAAAATGGGGTAATTCCAGGACTGGGTTAGGAACTGTACCATGGGCCTGGAGCAGCGGTCTAGGAGGAGGAGGAGGGCACAGTCTCCAGTCCAGTGGGAGGCTGAGCAGAGAAGGAATGTGTGCAGAAGGGGTGTCGCTGTGACACTGGGGGGTGGAACTCAGGGGGCAGAGAAAGCATGCTAGGGATTCCTGTCTCCCTGGTACCCATCAAGGCCATGCAGAAAGGAAGGAAGCCAGCAAAGTGGGGACTCCTCAGGAAACAGGAAGTCTTGAAGTCATCCTAGATGTAGGGGTAAGAAGAGGATACATAATTGCTGTGTGACAGACACAGGTGACCATGAGCCTCAGGGATCCACAAGTTGGGCTGTGTGAAGTATCCCCGAGAATCCCCAGCCCTTTGCTCCTATGACTTCCATGAGCTGAGTTTCCGGTGGCTGTGGATGGTCCTTTTCTTCTGGGATGCGGCTCCCTGGCCTTTTTAACCATCTTTTTCATGTGCTAGCAAAGAGGGGGCGAAGGCACCCCACCAGGTGGCCCCGGTATGAGCGTGACTCTGCTGGTGCCCTGAGTGGAGCATTCTCCAAGGCCAGTGGCTTACTAGCTTGGTGCTGGCAGGTGGCAGTGCAGAGATCAGCGATCCCACGCAGAAATGAGGTAAGGCAGCCCCCCTTAAGACTGGGGACTCCCTGGCTTCTGCCTAAGGTGTCCCAAGTCTGCTGTTTTAAGAGGAGCCATTGCATGGTATTATAGAGCTTTCTCTTCCGTAGTTGGAAGCCTGCAGACCTCACTCTGGAGCAGAAGAAATGAGCACTGCCTACTTAACCTTTTGTTGGGCGCAGGCGCTCAACATACTCCGCCCAGGACCAAGAGCCACGTCAGCTTCCGCAATGTGTTATGTCCCTCTCCAAATAAACTTCTCCGCGGCAACTAGTGATGTTTACTCCGTGGCAGCTTGTGATTGGCCACAGTCAGATAGACAGCTTGTGATTGGCCAGTCAGATATATATAAGCCAGAACCCGCCTCAATAAAGCGGCAGTTGCCTGTTACACACAAGAGCGTCCTCTGTCTCATTGGGGGGCTGCGCCGGTCAACCTTTCGCTCCTACGGGTCCTGGGATCGGATGTGCTTGGTAGCAAAGGCCAGGCAAAGACACTGCCAAGCTCAGCCCTGGCCTTGTCCCCTGGGCCACATGCCTGGCACACCCAAGTGTCAGCCTGCAGCTGGGACCAAGAGAGGAGCCCAGCGACCTCACCATTGGGCACTGCTTCCACCTCGCACAGGGTCCCCAGAGAGACAGGTGCACAGCTGGGCACTGGTGAGCGGTCAGCCTCAAACAAGGCTTGGGCTCTCCTTTCCCCAGCTTCTCTGTCTGAGTGTGACCAAATGTGGGAGTCTGAAACACATCTCCCAGGTGGACTCTGCACCACACAGGGCTGCATACCTTGAGTGGCACTGGACCCTGTTCTGAGGGGACAGTTTTCTCAGGGAAGCAATTCTTCTAGAGAGGGCATTTCCCGAGCAAAGGGACAGTTGAGGTAGACCCGCTTCTCTGCACCCTAAGCTGCCTTATCTGGGTCCAGGCATGGGGTCCCTCACCCCCACCAGTCTCCAATGCTTTGGAAAGCTGCAATGCAGGGACTGTCTGCATAGCAAGGCCGAAGCTTTGCTCCGTGCATCCTTTCCCTCATCCTCTGTCACCACCTCTCTCCAGAGTCTCTGAGCCTCTTTACCAAGGAAGCCATTTCCGACTCACTCATAATCACATGTTAGTGTGGCCTGGGGTCAGGCCTCAGGGTGCACTAATCCCGTGCAACACCCTCCCTCCATTCCCGGCCTCTAGTCATCTCTACTCTATCACGGGTCAACTTTTCTTAGTAACTTCCTTGTATGAGAAAGAATGCGCAGCACTTAGCTCTCTGACTATGGGTTACGTTACATCACTTAACACAGTGGCCCCGGTTCCATCCTGTTCCTGCGAATGCCAGGATTTCATTCTCTTTGGTCCACAGCAGACCACGTGTTCCTTTTCCTCTCATCTGCTGATGGGCAGCTATATGGAGTCTCGATCTTAGCTGTTGAGATCAGAGCCACAGTAGCATGTGTGAGCCAGTCTCCCTTTGCCATGTTGATTCTGTTCCCCTGATCGATACCTGTGAATGGGTTAGCCGGATCTGGTAGTCGCATTATTTTGGTGTCTTGAGAAACCTCTGCATCGTTCTCTACAGTGATTGTACTAACTCACACGCCCGCCAGCAGTGTATAAGACCTGCTTTGCCCCCACATCCCAGCCAGCATTTATTATTTTGGGGTTTTTTGTTTTGCTTTGTTTGTTTTGCTTTTTGGATTGTAGCCATTACAATTTGGGCGCAATGGTATCTCACTAATTTTCATTTGCATTTTCTGGATGGTGAATGATGAGAGTTTGTTCCGATGTTGGCTGGCTGGCTGCCTTTCTTCGTTGAGAAATGGCTATTTGGATCATTTGTACACATTTTAGCCCTTGAGAGCGATATGAAATATTAGCCATCCCGCCCTTCCTGGAGTCTCCTGGTCTGCGTGGCTCTGGGCACATGTTATGCATCATAAAAGTGTGTGTCTTCACCCTGCTCTCTGTCTATTGTCATCTTACCTCATCAGAGTCAGGTAGTGAGAGTAGTGAAGCTCGCCCGCCCAAGGGGGTTGCATCCCACCACCCCCTGCAAAGTCCAATCCAGCACTCCCCTCCTGGAAGCTCCTGGAAGTACCCACCCCACCCTCTCCACCCCTCCCTTTCCCCAAGCCCCGTGGCAACCCCACCAGCCGGGGGAACAGTTGACCTGGGGCCTGCCAGCAGGGGACATATTCAAATTCCATGAGAGGACAAAAATCAGCCCAGTCCTCAGTAATTTTGCATATCAGTCACAGATTCCTGTCCTCACAAAAACTTTAAGGTCTGAGTTCTAAGCAATTGCTGTGGTCACAGTGAAGTTCATTATTGCACTTGCAGTTTTGAGAACAGCAATGCTATTCTATGCATTTAGCAATCACTGCAACACAGGAGAGTCAGTTGGGAAGCTGGTAGCTCAGCCACTGGCCTCCGACCCCCTTCAGTGGCCCTGAGCAGGTGTGCAGCTCCATGGAGCTGCTGACTGCTGGGGACCCCTTGTGTCAACACCACGCACTGCCCTTTGGGCTTGGGTACAGGGCAGGTAGCGAAACCCCACAGCCTCACACTTGAGCTCCTCTGCTTCTCCTCTGCATCTGCCACACTATCCCTCTGTCTGTCTGTCACACTAGTCCTCTGAATAGTGCAGAGAGCTGGGAACAAGGAGACAAAAGGAGCAAGTTTGATGCTTCATGTTTTCGGTTGGAAAGTGCCAGTTTAGGTCATTCATAAATTATTCCACTGATTTTGAAAAATATGTTTAAAATGAAACTGTATTCCTTTTTAATCATTTAAATACTAAAGAATAAGATAAAGCCAGCGTGGCGATGCACGCCCATAAGCTCAGCACTCTGGGAGGCAGAGGCAGGAGGATTGCAAGTTCCAGCTCAGCTTGAGCACCATAGTAACTTGGTGAGAAGCTGTCTGAAAATAAATAAAGAGCCTGGCATGTAACTCATTGAGAATGCCATGTGTTCAAAACCCTAACCCTGCAAAGAAAGAAGTAAAAAAAAATCATGTTTCCAATAATCACAGAATTATTGTCAAAAATAATTTTTCACAGAAAGGAAGGTGTTAAAATTGGATCCATTGAGGCAGGGTGGGGGTTAAGCATTGCAGCAACCTGGAGGACCGTCACTAGGTGTCCACTGCCCTAAGTGGGCTCCTCACCTGGCCCTGCCCATCTCACTGTCCTCTGATCCTTCCTCCACATCCCCTCAGGATGCTCCTGAAAGCCTAAACCTCTCATTCTCTACATAGCAGGTGCCTGGAAATCTGTCCTGCTGTCCTTTAGAGAAGATGGTACAGTGTTCAGGGGCCAGATGGGCATTCAGGCAGCCACAAGATCCAGGCATGGCTCAGCATGGGCTGTGAGAGGGGGGTGGAAAGGCATCTTAGGGAGGGAAGGACGTGGCTCTGGCCTCAGATGGCCCTGGTCAGCGTTTCAGATCTAGAAGGAATAATCCTGGGCTGGTTCCTGCACCTGGCTGTGTTTCACACTCATTCTCAGAGGCAGTGATGTCATGTAATCCAGGTGCAGCAAACTCCCAGGTGCAGCAAGGTCCCAAGGACCATGGGAAGCCCAGGCCCAAGACAGAGTCTGGATCTGGATTCCCTGGACCAGTGTCC